TGGTTCATGATTACTATTATGATTACCACGCATTTCAGCTCTCCTTCCCCATTCCACCACACAAATGCTATGGGTCAAATTGTGTATGTATTATTATTACTGGTTTTATCCTTTTTTCCCTAAGCCTGTTTATTCTGGAGGTCCAGGCTTCTTTTGTCTCCTGAGGATAATGAACAGGTCTCCCCCACACCTTTCCCTACATAAATTTTTTTAAACTGAAATATAACACTCATCCAGAAAAGTATACCATGTACAAATTACTTTCACTTAACTATCTTATAAAAATATTTCCACGTGTCGTGTAATTTCATAATAAATTATAATCCATTTTAAGTACTTGCTGTTAATTCAGATATATTTTATTTCTTTAACTAGATTGTAAACTATTTGAGGTCAGGTATCATTTCTTAAGTGGTTTTCCATCCAACGTGGGGCTCCACCCAACAACCCCGAGATCAAGAGTTGCACACTCCATCCACTGAGCCAGCCAGGCACCCCACCCTCCTATTGTTTTAAACCACTCAGTTTGTGGTACTCTGTTGTGGCAGCCTTAGGAAACTAATATAGGAGAAAATTATATTTATGCTGAAAAATATCAAGTCTTGCTCTAATAGAATGTGGTCTTATCCTAGTCAGGAAATGTGGGAATTTTAACAAGATAGGGGTTGAGACACTGGCTGTCCTTGCTGACACTACCATCTTGTATAACAACGACCATACTATATATCTTCACGAGTCACACCATCTCTACTCTCAGCTCAGCTGATCTAGTCACACTGCAACCAGAGTGAACTTTCTAGAATCTGATCCTATCACCTGCATGCTTAAAACCTTCTGTGGTTCTCCCATGCCCCCCAAACAATACACAAATGCCTCAGGTCACTCTCTACTCACCTCTTTACCACTTCCTCCTCACAGTGCCTGACCTTCAGTCTCTGCCTGGAACATACTTCATTCCTTTGGCCTCATTGCTTGGCCAATCCTATTTATGCCTCAGTGTCTACGTAAGTGGACTTTCCTGCTTCACTGCCCTCCCGGGCTGTCCCATAGTCCTCCATAGTTTCCCTGGGATGGCCCTGATGCACATCTCTGCCTGTGGAGTTTGCTGTGTCACCCTCTAGCCTTGCTACTGAAGGTGAGGTCCAAGGAACAGACACTTGGGCATCACCAGAATTTAAGATGCAGAATCTCAAGCCCAGCTAGATCTTCACAATCAGATGTGCACTTTTTAAAAAGATTTTATTTATTTGACAGAGAGAGCCACAGCGAGAGAGGGAACACAAGCAGGGGGAGTGGGAGAGGGAGAAGCAGGCTGCCCGCCGAGCAGGGAGCCCGATGCGGGGCTTGATCCCAGGACCCTGAGATCCAAAGGCAGACGCTTAATGACTGAGCCACCCAGGCACCCCTCAGATACACATTTTAACAAGATACTCAGGGGATTCTTTTTTTTTTTTTCCTCTTCAAGTGATTCTTATGGGGCATTGAATTTGTGAGGTATTGGTCTCTTCCACATAATCTCCGTGGGGGCAGGGAGCACCGTGTCCCCAGAACCCAGCACAATGGCTGTTTAAACAAAGATTTAGCTGATTTAGTGCACGAGGCTGATTTCCTGTTAACAAGCCTGTCTTACAGGGAAAAAACCCAAAACAAAACAAAACAAAACAAAACAAAACAAAAAGTCTCCTTTTATCGGAATAAACAGACTCAGGTTTCCAGCCCATGTGTTTTGTCACAGTTCCCTTTGCATTCCCATTATACATCTCTCATATTCTTTGTTTTCCTGTCAAATCCTATTTTCTGCACGATATATGTGAATGACTGTTCTATTACTAATCATGTTTTCTGTTCTGTTTGGGGGTTTTTTGTTTTGGGTTTTTTTAAGTAATTTTTAAAAACCCTCTAATGACAACACAGGCAGAGTCAGATTTGCACTGTTATTTTTGAACTTGGTCCATGAAAACTGATACTTGGTAATAGTTTCAAAAATTATCCTCCCCAGTTCTTTTGCCCTCCTCACCCCTTCCCTTTCCTCATCCACACCCTTCTGTCCCCCTCCCTTTTTCCCTTCCCTCCTTCCTTCCTTCCTTCCTTTCTTAACAGGTGACGGGATTCTAATGCTTCATGATAAATCTTTTTGTTGCGAGTCCCGGCGGTCAAAATATCCTGATATGTTTATATTTCTCACAAGTTCTCAGGAAAGGATATGTCACTTTTCCAGATAAGTATACAGGTAAGAGAGACTTTACACACTCAACTTCTAATTCCCTTAATAGAATGTTAAATCACAATGTATGGACCATCTGAAACCCAAAATCTTAAACGGTCCTCCATAAATTGCTGATTTGACCCACCTCTGAAGCCCACCTCCCCAACTTCTCTCCTCACTTCTTCCAGTGAGTTGAATTTGCAATTCCCTAAAAGGCACCTCTTGCCTAAGGTTTGTATCCAGTATGGGTCATGTGGCTAACAACCTTTTATAATGATAATGTTAGAGGGCAGGATTGGCACACCCTTGGTAGGTAAACAACAGTAGGATTTGCTTTTCTTTCTTTCTTTCTTTTTTTTTTTTAAAAGATTTTATTTATTTATTTGACAGAGAGACACAGCAATAGAGGGAACACAAGCAGGGGGTAGTGGGAGAGGGAGAAGCAGGCTTCCCGCAGAGCAGGGAGCCCGATGCGGGGCTCGATCCCAGGACCCTGGGATCATGACCCGAGCCGAAGGCAGACGCTTAACGACTGAGCCACCCAGGCACCGCTTGCTTTTCTTTTGTTGAATGTATCTGCATTTCAGGGTGCATGATTTGGTCAGAAGTGTACTAATTTATCCAATCAGAAAGTTAATGGTGTCCCTTAACTATTATGTCAGTCAAAATGAGCCCTGAGAGGGCCCCAGTGCCTTTCAGATACTGTTCCAGAAAACAGACTAGGAGGCAGCATCCTCTGCTGTGCTTCCTGTGTCAGGTGAGAACTCCTGAATTCTGTCCTCTCTTAACCTTGTGTGTTTACCACACTCAAAACTAAGTTGTTTAGGGGCACCTGGGTGGCTCAGTTGGTTAAGCGTCTGCGTTAGGCTCAGGTCATGATCCTGGGGTCCTGGGATCAAGCCCCACAACCAGCTCCCTGCTCAGGGAGTCTGCTTCTCCCTCTGCCTCTGCCCTTCCCCTCCCACTCCTGCTCTCTCCATCTCTTTCAAATAAATAAAAGTCTTAAAAAAATAAACTAAGTTGTTTAAATTCAGGAGTAGTTTTGTTCCATGATTATAGCGTCCTCTATACTTCTGCAGGACCAAGCCATAAATAAATACTTGCAGGTTGGTGTTGATTGAATGATTTCAGGTAAATAAACAAGTTCAAATGCCTACTTGGGGGCACATAATGTAAAGGAGAAAAGCGACAGCAGGGAGCGTGGCCACCGGGAGCTCCCGCCCCAGGTCTGAGGGAGAGTGGCTGCCACCTTGCTTCTAGCCGGCTCTGCCCGTTTGGGAAACGGATCCCGGGTTTTCAGAACTTCACATTTTACAAAGGACGCCAGAGATCAGAGCTTTTGAAGTCATCTCTCAATTTTTAAATGTTGGTAACCAAATCAAATTCTCACAAGACATTTTGCAAATCAATAGGATGAGCCAAACAGAACACTCCTGGGAACCACGCGGTTCTAAGTAGCCAGTTTGCAACCTCTTCGTTGAATAGTGCAGATAATTAAGAATATTCATTTTTCCAAAAAACTGTGATTACTGGGAACGCCACGGCGGGTTAGAGCTCCTGCCCCGTAGGGGGCCTGCCTAGGTTCAGATCCTGGCGCGGCTCTCTGCCAAGGCGCGCTCCAGAATTCCCTTGATCTCCATACACCAGTTTTCACACCTGTAAACTGGCCTTTATGGTAAGAATGGCAGCTTAGCAGCGTCGTTCTGAGGACAGAATGAGAAAATGCCTGCCCAAGCCCTTCTCACGAAGCGGCGCTCAATACCTGCTAACTAGTCCAAATTACTATTTCTCTTTATAATAATGGGATTGTTCGAGGACCAGCCAAACAGCGTGTAAATAACTTCATGTTCCCACATACTTCATTTCTCCTCCCACAAAAGCATTTGATGGTGTCCCATATGATGACTTACTCTTTTTATGTTACAAAGCAGCATCCAGATGGAGTAATACCGACCTTTCCAGAGGGAATATGCTCCACACAGTCCTGGCTGGGGCGGAAAACTAACCCCTCTCCCCTGCCTCTACACACACACACACACACACACACACACACACACACACACACACCGCCTTCCAAATCAAACCAGTGTTGGTTTGCTCGCTCCAGGGTTTCAATGTGGTACGACTGTCACTCTCCTCTGGCATCCTCTCTACTGTTATGCAAGTTTTCTTCATCTCATTTCCCTGCAACCACCCGTGCCCTCCGAGTTCGAGCTTCCCTTTCCCGATCTCATTCCGGGATCTGCTTCGAGTCTCCAAATTGCCGGTTTACAACAAGGACGAAGCGCCTGACCTCCCCATCCGCCGCCTTCCCGCTAGAACTTCGCCCTCTCGCGACTTCCCGGCCCCGCCACAATTGCAGCCGACTCGACGTGGGGCGGGGGCGGGTTCTCAGCCCGGTCCCCCCTCCGCCCGGCCCCCGCTCGCGAAGGGAGTAACTGCGAGGCGGAGCAGGGGGTCGGCGCCGCCGCGGAGCGCGAACGAGTCCGGGCAGGTCCCCCACCGCGGCCGCCCTCGGGGGCGGGGACAGGGGCGGGCGCAGGGTCAAGTTTCTCTACGTCACGGTTCCCGGGAAAGTGGCCTTATAAGAGGAGAGCGTGGGCGCGCGAATCGCCCAGACCTGAGAGGTGCCCGGCCCGAGAGCCCTGCGCTCTCCAGTCGGGTCGTGCCCGCCCGCTACGGCCGGTCTAAGGCCCACGTTGCAGCTCGCCTCCTGCTGCCCCAAGGGGCTCGGGTTGGGGGGCCTAAGGTCCCCGGGGTTCTGCAGCACAGCTCCCGGTGGCTGCCTGTGAAGATGCCTGGGAGGAAGGCGCGTAGGAGCGTGCAGCCGAGCCCTGCGCTGGCCCTGGCAGGTAGGGAGCCGCTGGGGCCCGCGGGGATCCGGGCCGGGGCGGGGGCCGGGTCGAGGTCTCGGTCCGGGCGGCTGGAGCCCGGACGGGCAGGTCGGGCAGGTCTGTGCCCGTGCACATGCTTTGGGGGGCGCCTGCAGGAAGTTCTTCAGGGATTTTACCCTGGACGGTGGAGACGGCGAGGGAGGAAACCCGATTTGGGATGCAGATTGGGATTTTAGCGGAGGCAGAAAGCCTCCTCTTCGCTTCGCTTGCTTTCCATCCCCACTTGCCCTGCCCCGGGGCCACGGGGAGAAAAAGTGCAAGTGCCGGCTGCAGTCACGAGGAGAAAGTCATTGTCGCGGCAGGTGGGGACGGGAGAGGCTCCGGGAGCTGCCTGGCAACCAGCCCTCTTCCGCCGGAGTCGGGGACCATTGAGGGCCCCGCTCTGAGTGTTGCCACTCCCGGGTCCCCAACACAAACCAAGCAGTCCATAACGCGTGATCCTCTCACGGCTCTTCCACGGAGGACTGATGGAGCGTTCCGGAGGCCCTGCGAGGACCACTGCGGTCAGGAGCCTAGAAAATCGTGCTTCTTTGTTGAGTGTAACATTTTGACAGTCGTTATTAGTTGTGGAGATGGGATAGGAGAAGAACTGGAGTTGGTCTCCGGTGGTTTTTAATCCATCCACTCTCCCCTCCTCCCTCCATAAAGCCCCATCAAATAACTTTTTAGACCCGCCCTCTCCCTTATAAATCTTAGCAAACGAGGCAGCCATCCGCTAAGGCGCTGCAGCAAAGAAGGCAGCAAGGCTCTGGGCTCGAAATCCGTCATACTGCTATTGCATCAGACGATAATGGCCCCCTTTTAAGTTAGTTTCGCTTTATAGAGCCCATGAGGCGTGCAGAGGAAGTGGTGCATTTCCAAGCTGGCCATGGCTAAGTGGGCACCAGGGTGTTCTCTCTGGCTCTTACTTGGGAGGCAAAAAGCTTTACCCACCTTTAGTGATGTTCAAGAATTCTCCGGTTTCCGGAAGGCCTAACCTGAGCATAACCTTTCTGCCATTTAACTTCATTCCCAATAACATGGGGCAGCAGAAAGGGCCTTCTTTAAACTCGACTCGATAGTGATACATCTTTTTATTGAGATGTAAGTGACATATGACATTGTATTAGCTTTGATTTGATGTATGTATATATCAAATGATGTTGATGCCATATATGTATATACTGTGAAGTGATTGCCAAATAGCTTTAGTTAACATCCCTCACCACACATAGTTCCAATTTTATTACTACATGTATAGAAATGTAATTAACAGAAAAATTAAGGAAACAACTAGCAGCAAGTTTCTGCCCCCTCTTTTGGGGAAAGAGATAATTTTTTCCCTTAAAACACTTTTATAATCCTTTTTCTTAAATTAATATTCATTTAATGACAATATCTCACTAAAAAAAGTAGTAAACTTGTGAATTAAACGTATTTCTGCTTCACTCATAAAGGCAGTGTGGATTGGCACAAATTAGGTTTGTAAGAATTTAGTTTACAGTAAAATGTAAATTTCTAAGTTATTTTAGAGAATGTGGACTTATTTTTGATAAAAGATTTTATGAGTCTTACAAGAAAATTTTAAAGAGCTTTTCAATGAGGGTAAGAATACATTTAGAGGGGCGACTGGGTGGCTCAGTTGGTTAAGCGTCTGCCTTCAGCTCGGGTCATGATCCCCGGGGCCTGGGACTGAGTCCCGCATCAGGTTCCACATTGGAGAGCTGAGCAGGGAGCCTGCTTCTCCCTCTCCCTCTGCTGCACCCCCTTCTTGTGCTCTTGCTCTCTCCGTCAAATAAATAAATAAAATCTTAAAAAAAGAGGAAAAATAATACCTTTAGATTTGTCTATTAATGAAGGCATAATCTGAGCTGTGAATTACTGCCATTTAAAAAATAAATCCTACTTGAAAACAATATACAAGAGTTTAGAATTTGACTTCTGTTTCCCCAACTAACCTTCAGTGAGCAAGAAGGGGATGACATCACCTGAGGTTGGCCAAGGCTTGCTAACTCTGTGGTGTATGACAGAAATGTCCGAATTTTTTTTTCCTCCACCATAGCAATTTCTTTCTTTTTTTTATTAACATATAATGTACTATTTGTTTCAGGGGTACAGTTCTGTGATTCATCAGTTTTACATAATTCACAGCGCTTACCATAGCACATACCCTCCCCAATGTCCCATCACCCAGCCACCCCATGCCTCCCACCCCCCTCCACTCCAGCAACCCTCAGTTTGTTTCCTGAGATTAAGAGTCTCTTATGGTTTGTCTCCCTCTCTGGTTTCGTCTTGTTTCATTTTTTCCTCCCTTCTCCTATGATCTCTGCCTTGTTTCTCAAATTCCACATATCAGTGAGATCATATGATAATTGTCAGAAATGTCCGTATTGAAAGAAAGGTAACATTTGCCTCTTGCAGTAGGCTTTTTAAAAAAAAGATTTTAGAGTGAACGTCTTTATTCTTAACTATTCTTTTTTTGGTTTATGAGTCACAGTGTGTCAATGTATGGTGTGTGTGTGTGTGTGTGTGTGTGTGTAGGCGCACGCGTGCTAAGTCACCTTTCCCACATTCAGAAAATGGGTGTACATAAAGCTAAAGTTAAGATAAATGCTTCACTGAATAAATACTCAGCTTGTCCCTTGGATGGGCACATTAACTCTTGCTGGTTGCAGTTTGTAATATCAATGTGATTTTAAATGTTTTGCTTTCCTTTTCAGAGACCGAAGTGGAATGTGCCATTCAACTCAGGAGATTTGGAGACAAACTGAATTTCCGGCAGAAACTTCTGAATCTGATATCCAAACTCTTCCGCTCAGGAACCTGACTGTTTTGGAAGCTTTTGAATGAGGAGATTCCTTTAAAACGGAAGATTCCCCAGTAGGTGCAAATTTCATCAATTAGAGGAAATGCCTTCTAATGGAGAAGATTGGGAGGGAGATCTCACTTGCTTTTTGGATGCCCTTGGAAACCAAGATGGAATACATCAAAGACGGATTTCTGTTGGAGATTTCCCAGAAGTCATTTTTTTGGGTTGCGAGGACGTTATAAAACCATTTTGTTTATTTTAAAGCAAGAATGGTGGAGCTTTGAAAAATAAGGAATTAATTACTTATACATTTTGTTTTTACTTCGAAAATTATTCTGGTAATTTTGCTGAAGGTTGCTGTCCAGTCTACTGTAAGCGGAGTTGGCAAATGAATAAACTGTGGGCAGGGGCAAAGAAACAGAATGTGTTCAGTGTTGGGTTTTATTTTTGGATGACAACTCCCAAGTGATGTATAATATTTGCTTTATATGTTATCTTGTTAATAGTAAAGATTTCATTCTGAGAACACTGAATGTCAGAGAATGTGGATTCCATAGGTCACTACAAAATATAAAACGATTTGAAAGCTGGTTTCTTTTGACTCAAAAATGTATTGACACAAAAATGTATCTGTTCAGATGACCCTTCCTTGAATTATGTTTCTGTGAGTCTTAACTGCAGTCTGTACTTGGAAAAATGTGATGGAGGTGTTACTTGGTGCCAGTAAGATTCTTGCAGGTAGAATGTTAAAACATAAAGAGTACGGGGATTTTGTAGAATGAGAAATAATGGGGGAGAAAAAGCAATTTAGACTTTTTTACTGCTGTAATTAACACTTAGTAAAACAAATATTCTAAAGTCACTTGATAAGATGAATGTGTTTCTAAAGAAGTTTCTAAAATCTGTAAAATGCCCTTTCTCAGATTAGTAAGTGTATGGCTTATAAGAAGTGATCTTTTAAGAGAAATTAAGCATGTTTTACATAGTTGGGATATACTTTTTTTAAAAAAAGAGAACGGGATTGCTCATCCAGAATAAAAATGCCATATATGTGTAATTTGCATTAGAATAATATGTAGATTCTGAGAAAGGTTTCATGAATTTCACTTTTTTATTGTTAAAAGGCCAGGCTGTCAACAAAGTCCCCAGATATATAAAAAAAGAAATAATAGTGTCATGATTGAATTTCTGTAAGAATAATCTTATTTATTTTACCTATTTATGATTAAAATATTTTTTTTTGTTTAGTTTGAAAATGTCTATTAGTTAAAGTTACATTTTTAGGTTATGAGACAAGGCTTTCATAACCACTTGAACTTTACAGTGAGAATGTTTTGCTATAGGGTATTGTCACTTTAGATGAAACATTACCTCAGCATCTGTTTTTTCTTCAGTATTATTTAGTTGCAAAGATGCTTTTTGTCTGTCTAGAGGCAGATATTTTGCCATTTGGATATTTATGGTCTGTAACTGTATTTATACATACAAAACTTGGATACTGTAGCTGTAAACTATTAAAAATTATCACCATTCTTTTTTACATGTTCCTTTTTGTCATCACGTCACCGGCCCAGTGTTCATTATGAAACCAAAATTGTTTTACCAGTTTCCATCAGCAGGCCCCTTCTGACCACCACGTCTTCTTCAGTCACAGTTCTGTCGCCAGAATGGGACATGCAGGGACATTTAGCATGATTTCTGCTGTCAAGGGACTTACCATTTAATTGGGAGAGGAAATAGTGAAAAAGAAGACATTCATGCCTGGCGTAGGTCTTGAGTGCCTTAGTGCCTGGAGAGTGATTTATTGCAAGTAGCCTACAGAGATCCGTTATCTCCTTAGAGGTGCTGTGTGCCCCCCTCCTTGGCTGCTCGGGGAGCCTCTGCCAGGCTAGAGGAGCTTCTGGTTGGTTTCCTTGACGGTGGCCTCACACTTCTCCCCTCCTCTGCCCCAACCCTGAGCAGCGAGTCTTGCTTCATCTGAAGCTGGTCATGTGCAGAAGGAGTGGCTTTCCTGTTAGAGGGTGAGAACTCATGAGATACTCCTAGTCGGTAGCATCTTAAGGCTGAAATCCTACAGAGTAAGTTGCCTCCCTCAGATGGGGAGGGCGAGAGGAGGGGCTACCCGAGGAAGGTGACCCCTTGAGGGGACAGCTGGGGGAAGGGCATGAAGGGCCCCCAGGGCATCGCAGGAGTAGGCGGAGAGATTGGGTCCATAAAGGGCAGGGTGGGGGTTGGGGGGGCAGTGTGCATGATTTGATTTGAGGGTCTCTGGAAGAGGAACTCCTGCCCCTCTGCATAGCCAGAAGTGAACCACTGGTGGTAATGAGTTTTGCTAAAAGTACCCTTGCTGCTCTTTTTTTATATGAGGAGTAGTACAGGAAAGCTTTGGGACAATGCACAATCTTCAGGTAAGAGGACTATATGTTTTCAGAGAACTCTTTTTTTTTTTTTTAAAAATTTTATTTTTATTTGAGAGAGCATGAGCAGTGGGGAGGGGCAGAGAGAGGGAGAAGCAGGCTTCCTGATCAGCGGGGAGCCCTATGCAGGGCTCCATCCCAGGACCCTGAGATCAGGACCTGAGCCCAAGGCAGACGCCTAACCGACTGAGCCACCCAGGCGCCCCAGAGAACTCTCAATGTCAAAAAACTCCCAGGATGCCCACATAATTGTAATTGTAAATATTGACTAACAAAAAGCTACCAGGAATTTAAAAATAGTTTGACTTGCATTTATATTCAAGAGAAAACCTCCATAACCTTTATATTTGAAAAGTCACCTAGAAATGGCAATGTGCTATTAGTAAAATGCATACAAAAAATATAATTCTGCTTATAAATACTTAAAGTTAGTTTAAAAATTGAATAAGAAAAAAAAATCACTGCCTTTTGCACAAACGTGTTTGCAATGCTTCACATTAACAAAGTTACTGTCGTTGCCTCCACAGCAAATAGAGGGGAAGGCCTCGGGCTTTGTGTCTTGGATTAAAACAATAGTGAATCACTTTAGCAGAGCACAGTCTCTCATCTTTTGAAACTGTGGCAAAATGATGGACCTTTAGGAAAAAAAATAAAATCAGAAATGCAATAATACCAGAATTAAGAAGCTGTGACTATTACTGAAGTAACTGAAGAAAGATCTAATCCCACAGAAGCTTCATTCTGAGTCCTAAATATACTAAACCATTTAAAAAGTGTGCCTCAAATTTCAAGGGCTATATTTTGTTCATTTTTAAAAAGATTTTATTTATTTGGGGGGGCAGCTCTGGAGGAGGGCAGGGGACAAGCAGGCTCTACACTGTGCAGTGCAGAGCCCAATATGGGGCTGGACCCCACGACCTTGTGATCATGATCTGAGCTGAAACCAAGAGTCGGATGCTCAACTGACTGAGCCACCCAGGCATCCCTATTTTTAATTTTTATAAACTGGACAGAATTTCTTCTGAAGCTATTTCCTTGTATTATTTGAATGTGTAAAGGAATTAAAGTCCCCAAAACAAATATGGTCAGGTAAAAATGGGCTACACATCAAGGGATAACATGACATACTTTGGTAAACTGTCCTATGCTGCTAGTTTTTTTTTTAAGTTTATTTATTTATTTTTTGTAATCTCTACACCCAATGTGGGGTTCGAACTCATGACCCAAAGAGCAAGAGTTGCATGCTCCTCCAACTGAGCCAGCCAGGTGCCCCTCCTAAGTTGATAGTTTTATTTGAGATGTTTTTATCAGCTCTCCTTCCATTATTAATCAAGAATACATGTATCTAATTGCGTAATTTACATTTACACAATTTAAGAGAAAACCAGCAAGGACCATCTCCTCAGTAATTCAAGATTTTCATACTCAACAGAGTATAGCTTATAGAATTTTGATTATCAAAGTTTCTGCCAAAGCAAGTTTTCCTTGTTTGGTGAATTTATTTATCTCTGTGTGTCTTTCCTGTGCTTGGGGGAAATGCCTGTATTGTCTCTCTACAAATACTAAATACTGCCCAAGTAACTGATCATTTCAGGGACTGTGGGGGCTGGGGAAGGATGCAGGTAAGAAACGGGGAGTAGAGAAAAGGGACAGAGATCTCTTTGTGCTGCAATTTGCAATTACTAAAGGATACAGAAATCCAGTCAAAAACTTTAGAAATTTTCAAGTTTCACCATCTTGAGTCTATACCGACTCCATTATCTCATGTGTACAACTGATTCCATACAAATCAGTGGTCATGGCACTCATTAATGAACACTGTAATTTTAATTTAATTTAATTTATTTTTAAGTAAGCTCTATGCCCAACTCACAACCCTGAGATCAAGAGGCACATGCTCTACTGACTGAGCCAGCCAGGGACCCCTGAATACTGTAATTGTTTTATGTGTAAATCGAGGAGATGAGAAACAGTTCTAAAGAAAAATTGCAAACACTCCAGTCAAGGCCTTGTCACTTTCCAGCCCTGAGAACTTAGAAGTTCATTAACTTCTAGCCTGTGCGTCTGCAGGGAAAATGGAATAATGCCCTTTCACAGGGCAATAGCGTGAGCACTGATCTTACAGGCAGGTGGGAAAAAAAGTCACTTATCTGTCTATCACTGATCTCTTTATCATCTATCAATGTATCTATGAACGAGATAAGTTGCTTCCTTTAGTCTGAAGACTGTGTGCTGTGATTTGGGTTTTTTAATCCCTTGCAATAACTCTGCCTCCCGCCAACACACACACACACACACACACACACACACACACACACACACAGAGCCCTTTGGGCTGGAACAGCATAAATTGTGAAAATCTCGCCAAACTCTTTGAACCTTTGTCAGAGGGAATGCTCCACCAGGAAGACAACTGGCATCTTGAGGACAGTCACCTCTAAGCATGATGAGGAGCAGAGAGCCCCCTGCTTTGGAATCAAGGCCAAGCCATCAATGAGCCCTGAGACTCTGAGCAGGGCAGCCTGTCTGAGCCAGAATGATTCCTCTGCATCCCCTCCAAGGTCATTTGTGGTTTGAGACAGAGAATGGGATGGCAGAGGG